TTTAATTGAAGGGTTTAATGAGGGGGTTCGGGGGTCCCTATGACATCACTCCCCGCGTCAATGACGTCATTTTTCGCCCCGGTGACGTCATCGCCGCCGCGATGACGCAATTGCCAACCGGACGATGTGATTTCCCCATCCCGATGACGTCACCCACCACGCGATGACGACGTTTCCCGCCCCGATGACGTCACCCATCACCCGATGACGTTTTTCCCGCCCCGATGACGTCATTTCCGCCCCACCACCGCAGTGCACGGGGAACGTGTGGATGACGCACGAGGAGATGGAGTCACTTCCGGCCACGCCCAACGCGGTCAGCGCCGGATTCGGGGGAAATTTGGGGAAAATTTTGGGGAATTTGGGGCTTTTGGGACCCCCTGACCCCTCCAGGGGGGAACCTGGGGGGATTTGGGGGAAATTTGGGGGAATTTTGGGGAATTTTGGGATAAAGGATTTAGGGGGAAATTTGGGGGAGATTTGGGGAATTTTGGGAGGATTTGGGAGGGATTTGGGGAGAATTTTGGGGGATTTTGGGACCCCCTGACCCCTCCAAGGGGTATTTGGGGGGTTCTGGGGAGATTTGGGGGGAATTTGGGGGAATTTTGGGGGATTTTGGGACCCCTGACCCCCCTTTTTTTTCCCGCCCTCAGGAACCGCGGGAAATCAGCTGGGAACAGGTGAGGGGGCGGGGCTTGAGCGAGGGGGCGGGGCTTGAGAGAGGAGCGCGATTTGATTGGCGGGCGGGGTTTGATTGACAGGCGGGGCTTGAGCAGGTCCTGGCAGGATTATAAAGGTTCGGGGATGCCATAACCGGGTCCTGGCAGGCAGATAAACCCTGGGAAATGCCAGATCCAGGTCTTGGCAGGGATATAAAGGATCGGGGTTACAATAACCGGGTCCTGGCAGGGATATAAAGGACTGGGGGTGCCAGAGCCAGGTCCTGGCAGGGATATAAAGGATTTGGGTTACCATAATCCGATCCTAGCAGGGATATAAAGGTGTGAGGATGCCATAGCCAGGTCCTGGCAGGGATATAAAGGATTGGGTTTAAAATAACCGGGTCCTGTCAGGGATATAAAGGATTTGGGTTACCATAACCCGATCCTAGCAGGGATATAAAGGTGTGAGGATGCCATAGCCAGGTCCTGGCAGGGATATAAAGGATTGGGGTTGCAATAACCGGGTCCTGGCAGGGATATAAAGAACTGGGGATGCCAGAGCCAGGTCCTGGCAGGGATATAAAGGATTTGGGTTACAATAACCCGATCCTAGCAGGGATATAAACCCTGGGAGGTGCCAGATCCAGGTCCTGGCAGGGATATAAAGGATCGGGGTTGCAATAACCGGGTCCTGGCAGGGATATAAAGGACTGGGGGTGCCAGATCCAGGTCCTGGCAGGTTGATAAAGCCTCCCCGCAGATCCTGGCGCACGGGGACATGAACCACGAGTGGGTGGGGAACGAGTGGCCGGGTCCTGGCAGGGATATAAAGGATTGGGGTTACAATAACCGGGTCCTAGCAGGGATATAAAGGTGTGGGGATGCCAGAGCCAGGTCCTGGCAGGGATAAAAACCCTGGGAGGTGCCACAGCCAGGTCCTGGCAGGATTATAAAGGATTGGGGTTACAATAAGCGGGTCCTGGCAGGGATATAAAGATTCAGGGATGCCAGAGCCAGGTCCTGGCAGGATTATAAAGATTTGGGGATGCCATAACCAGGTCCTGGCAGGGATATAAACCCTGGGAGGTGCCAGATGCAGGTCCTGGCAGGGATATAAAGGATCGGGGTTGCAATAACCAGGTCCTGGCAGGGATATAAAGGACTGGGGGTGCCATAGCCAGGTCCTGGCAGGGACATAAAGGACTGGGGGTGCCATAGCCAGGTCCTGGCAGGGATATAAAGGTGTGGGGATGCCATAGCCAGGTCCTGTCAGGGATATAAAGATTCAGGGGTGCCATAGCCAGGTCCTGGCAGGGCTATAAATACTGCCCGCAGATCCTGGCGCACGGGGACATGAACCACGAGTGGGTGGGGAACGAGTGGCTGCCCAGCCTGGGGCTGCCCCAGTACCGCAGTTACTTCATGGAGTCGCTGGTGGACGCCAGGATGCTCGACCACCTGAGCAAGAAGGAGCTGCGGGGGCAGCTC